GTGTCAGTACTATCCACTGGACGCACATGAAGACTACTAGCTGTAGCTTAGATCAGTCTGAATGCAAGTCCTGCGCGATGTCTGGATTCCTGCCTGCTCTCGTCGTTCCGTATTGAGACGTCGTATCCACAGGGGCACTTAGCGTAGCTACTACATTGCTCTCATTTCTCATTCTCATTACTGTTGCTAGTCATGTGCTTCGTGAGATGATTTAGTACACTCCATACCACTCCATTAAGCCCCCGAGGCGATACTCTATCTTTCTCTACACCTACCTTATCCGCTTATAATACTCCGTTCATATATATACATCCTACTGAACACACGCACGCGGGCACGCTCGCACGCGCACACACACAAACACACACACACATACACACACACACACACACACACACACTCACACACACACACACACACACACACACACACACACACACACACACACACACACGCACACACACACGTACGCACACACACACACACACACACACACGTACGCACACAAGAAGACCTACCTCTGCTGCGTCGTCTACGGAGATGAGCTCACGCACGTCCACCGCCACATCATAATCAAAGTGTTCAGCAGCTGTGGCAGGATCAAAGTGTGAGGGGTGGGTGCGCGCCAGCGTGCACGATAACATCAAGGTGCACGGTGGAGGGTACGAAGCAGGCAGATGTTGATGGCATGAACATCATCCCACCTGGGTCGAGGTTGACCACGTGGCATGGTCGCTTGATGTTCTGGCAGTGGGAGTAGATGGTGCTGCAGTACGTCGACTGCACGCAGCACACACACATACAGTGACATGTGAGAAGCAGCAGCGCAAGCGTGACCAACACACACACACACATGTGAGAAGTAGCAGCGCAAGCGTGGCCAACACACACACACACACACACACACACACACACACAGACAGACAGACAGACAGACAGACACACACACACACACACACACACACACACACACACACACACACACACACATACACATGGACCAACCTTGCCTGACCCTGCGGGTCCAACAACAAGCTGTGCGTAGCGCATGATGATGCCCAAGCCCGTGCAAGAGTGAGAGGCCAAGAGCTGTGGAGAGGTAAGAGATTGTGCTCGTGGAAGCGACGCGTGTGTGTGCCTGCGAGCGAGCACGTTGACAATCGTTTGGAATGGAAGACTCAGCAGCAGCAGCGGAAAAAATGCGCATTGACAGACGACAACGACAACAACAACAACCCACTTATTCCACTTCCACTGTCACTCACGCTCCCGCACACCCCTCGCCATGTCTGTGGAGATACGGCCGTACAGGGATGAGAACGACCTGCCAGCCATCCAAAAGCTGATGGCAGCACACTTGTCGGAGCCGTACTCCATCTACACATACCGCTACTTCCTCGTCACTTGGGGCAAGCTGTCGCATGTGGTCAGTCCCTGTCCTTTTGTTTGTTCACTGGCTCCATCCACCCGTACACTGCTTGCAAGCTCTGCCAGCGCTCACCAGCTCGGTGTGAACCCGCCCATCTACGCACGCAACGCTGACACATACGCACCCGCCCACATTCACACACGCAGGCTGTAGTAGAGGGCGAGGTTGTCGGTGCTGTCATCTGTAGATTGGCACGGCACAAGCGTGGGCCGCTCCGTGGGTACATCGGCATGCTTGCAGTGTCCGAAGATCATCGCAAGAAGGGCATCGGTGTGTGTGTGTGTGTGTGTGTGTGTGTGTGTGTGTGTGTGTGTGTGTGTGTGTGCGTGTGTGTGTGTGCGCGCGCGTGTGTGTGTGTGTGTGTGTGTGTGTGAGTGAGTGTGTGTGTGAGTGACTGAGTGCGTGTGTGTGTGAGTGACTGAGTGAGTGTGTGTGTGAGTGACTGAGTGCGTGAGAGAGCGTGAGCATGTATGAGTATGGACAGCTGTTTGTGTTTGCCTCTGAACCACTCATCATCCAATATCTAATGTACGATTCACTTGCGTACGTGACAGGTACCATGCTGGTCAAGGCAAGCGTGGAGGCAATGAAGGAGGCTGGCGCAGACGAGGTCGGGAATTATCCTCAGCCAATGCCTCCTCTTCCCTCGCATCACCTACACCTGACCACTGCATCTGACTGCTACCAATCCCTGCTCAACCAACTCACACACACACATACACATACACATGCATACACATACACACACATACACACGCACGCACTGGCTGTCCATTGCGTAGATTGTGCTCGAGGCAGAGACGAGCAACCTGGGTGCGCTGCGTATCTACGAGTCCCTAGGCTTCCTGCGAGACAAGTTGTTGGAACGATACTACCTCAGTGGCGTCAGTGCATGGCGACTCAAGCTCTGGCTCAAGTAGTACCATGACATGACCTTACAGTCACCGCAGCCACCAGTTACAACGGCCTGTCTGACCATCACCGCTACCGCCGCCATCTGCCCTTCCTCAGCCATCGCCCATCACCTCTGCTGAAGTCTCTCTTCCACTATTCCTCTCACCATGTGCAGTACACCCCCCACCTCTTCTCTTTCTCTCCTCCCTCGCGCGTGCTTTGGTGCGTCTATCGTGCCGTGGTAGTGATGACCGTCTTTGTACATATACTCTCTCGCTATGAACAGCAACAGCAGCCATGCCTCATCTATCAACAAAGGGACAGAATGTGGTGCACCGTGTGTGTGTGTGTGTGTGTGTGTGTGTGTGTGTGTGTGTGTGTGTGTGTGTGTGTGTGTGTGTGTGTGTGTGTGTGTGTGTGTGTGTGTGTGTGTGTGTGTGTGTGTGTGTGTGTGTGTGTGTGTGTTTGCATATGCGGACGCAAACACACGCTCGCGTCGTGCACCTCAGGCCAAGAGACGGTGTTGTGGAACCGTTATGGAAATAAACCGTTGCAGCTCTGCGTCAACCAAGTCGCCAACCCTGATGATGATAGTGGTGATGATGATGATGCGAAAGCAAAAGGAGGAGAGAAAGGCAGTGGCGTGGCATAGTGCCGGGTGTGAGAGGGCAGTGCAGTGCAGTTCGAACAAACACAACAGCAACAGCAACAGCAATACACTGACATTCGTGACAGCGGCACAAGAGACAAAGTCGGCATTTGTCTTTCTCCCTCCTTCTCTTCACCTGCTGTGTAGCCGCTGCTGCTGCAAGGATCCATCTCCGCTGTCCAGCATGGCGACACCGCGCGCAACCTGCGCAGATGCACGCGGTCGTGTGAAAATCGATGGTGTGCACATGTGTGTGTGTGTATGCTTACTCGTGTTGTTGTTGCCGGCAGGGGATTGTTGTGCTGTTGATGCGAGCGTGTTGTGAATCTGTCTCACCGTGTGGAAGGTGCGAAGGCAGACTGGAATCAGAATGGGGAACGCGGCTCCAAACTGGGGTGATGCACCAAGCAAAGCGTCATGTCAGAGGTGACAACCAAAGCAGCAGAGATGCAGGCAGTGGACTGGCACACGCAAACTGTTGATCTAATCAACCGCACACACACACACACACAGAGAGATACACACACACAGACACAGACACACATACACATACATACACACAGCGCACCTTTGCAATACAGGGAAGGATGGACGCGAGAACGGCCGTGGTCTTGGCGTGTGCGGTGGCGGTGGGACCAACAGCAACGCTGCCCACCATCTCCGGTATCATCTCCAGCGCAGCCCGACAGCACTCGCCAAACTCGCCCGTCTGCACACGCCCGCACAGTGCAGCGCACATGCGCAACGCATTCACCTGCGCGCTTGCATCGCCATCCGTAATGTGGCGGTGGAGATAGCGCACGGCAAAGTGAATGGAGGGCACACGCTCCGCCAGCAGCAGCAGTCCTTCGTCAGACACCGCTTGGCCCGAGAGCAGAAGCAGCACGTCTGGGTGGGCGAGAATGCGCTGGTGGACAGTGGTGCACACGGCTGTCTCGTCCATGCCCGTGACGGCGCTCGCAGCATCAAGCAGCACGTGAATGACACCCGCCTCCTGCGCCAACAGCAGATCATCACGCAGTTTCTGCAGCTGTCGCTTTGCCGTTTGCTTCAGTTTCCCTTCAAACTCGCGACCCCGCTGCTCCAACACACCAGGGTTCACCTGCTGCTGCTGCTGCTGCTGCTGCTGCTGCCACTGCGCCACCTTCTCGCGTCGCCGCCGGCTGCTCTGCTCAAGCGCTTCAATCAGCGCTTGTTTCTCCCGCACGTGCACGCGCGTCCACGCCGCCGTCAAGCAGCTATCCAGGATGCTCAGCACGACCTCCAGGCACGGTTTGCTTGCAAGCACGGCCGGGTCCACTTGCAGCACCACAAATACGTCCTCAAGCAACCGCTCAACCGTGACGTGGTGGCGGCGATGGCGGCGATGGTGATGGGAACGCTGGTGCTGACGATGGCTGCTGCTGCTGTTGTTGTTGTTGTTGTTGTTGTTGTTGTTGTTGTTGTTGTTGTTGTTGTTGTTGTTGTTGTTGTTGTTGTTGTTGTTGTTGTGGCCGTGGCTGCTTTGAGGACCCGTAGTTGTGTTCACTGCAGTGGCATGGTGTTCGCCATCGTCGCCATGACCGCCAGCCGTGTCACTGCTGCGGTGGCTGTGTGTTGTGGATGCTCTCTTACTGTGCTGACTGCCGTTACCACCTTCACTGTCGTCGTGGCGTCGCTTGTGTTTGTGTCCATGCGCGTCTGCGTGCGTGTGCACCATCCACGCAGCAATAACGTGTGCCCACAGTTCTGACGGGAGCGCTGCGTCCAGGACGAAAAACGCGTCTCGAACCGCACACGCGTACGAGTGATCACACACGCACGCCGTGTCTGCAACAGCATCCTTAAACTCCCGGACGTGTGCGGGCGTCACCTCGTCCACAGCCAGACTCGACAGCGCCTGCAGCGTGCGCTTGTTGCGTTCAGACGACGCATTCCCGTGCCCAGCAGTCGCTATTGTCATCGCTGCAGCCGTCACGCCATCACCGTGGTTGTGCTGCTGCTCTTCTTCGTCATCCATCGTGTCCATCGCCGTGTCACCGCCACCGCCACCACCGCCACTTGGCTGTTGCCTTTGGTGTTGGTGGTGTTGCTGCTGTGGATGCGCTCCTTCATCTTCGCTCGCTGGTTGGTGATGATCAGTAGTGATGGGGTGGCCACGAGCGTGTGCGTGTGTGCGCGTGTGCGTGTGTGCAACGGATGTGCGGGAGAGGGCGAGCGTTGGGCGGACCCAGCACACGAGGCGAACGAGGGTGCCGTACACGGGGGCAGCAGCCGCCTGTTCGCAAAGAGAGAAAGAGAAGTGGGATGTAATGGGACGGAATGGGGTTGTGAGGGGAGAGGGTTGCAAAGAGAAAGCCGTGATCGGATACACGCAAGGGTGTAAGTTCAGACACAGGGTTACAAAGAGGACAGAGCGAGAGAAGCGCAAACAGACAGACTGACAGAAGATAGACAGGCACGCACAAATACGCATGCACACACATACACACACGCATGCACGCACAAATACACACACACGCATGCACGCACAAATACACACACACGCATGCACGCAAATACACACACACACACACACGCACGGATGCACAGACCGGGTTGTTCCTAACGATGCGCATGAGAGCGGAGAGATTGAGGGAGTCGATGAGCGGTGACGGGTAGGGCGGGGGCGGTGCTGTCGGCGCGCCCTTGAACGGAAACTCAAGCACCTCTGCAGTCAGGCGGCGGTGGCGGCAGAAGGCAAACACAAGCACATACAGCGCTTTGAGCGACCACGCAGCAAGGCCCTCCTGTGGTACCTGAGGCGCGAAACGTGGAGGTGGGGTGGGCCATGTGTGTGCGTGAGTGTGTGTGTGTGTGTGTGCATGCGTGTGTGAGTGTGCGTGTGTGTGTGTGTGCGAGAGAGAGAGAGAGAGAGAGAGAGAGAGAGAGAGAGAGAGTGTGTGTGTGTGTGTGTGTGTGTCTGTCTGTCAAGTGCTATGAGAGAAAATCACCAACACCAACACCAACACCAACACCACCACCAACACCAACACCACCACCACCACCACCACCATCATCATCCCGAGCATCATCGCACCGTGTCCAGTTGCTCGACGGCGGCTGGCTTGAACCCCTTGCAGTCGACAAACCGCTCGTGCTGGCCCGGCCGCTGCTTGAAGCCCGCGTATGTGCACCCGAGCGGCTCAACGCACATCGCCGCGCACGCCTGAAGCCGTGGACATGGGGGAAGGGGGGGGGAGGCAGACGACAAGCGGCGGTGGGACACAAAGGGGGGGGGGAGAGGAAAGTCAGAAAGGAACGGGAGAAGTGGAAGGAAGGAATGGGACAGCGAGGGAAGGAGGGGCGCAGTACACGCTTGCACGTGAACACAGCGACATGCAACTGTCCATTACAAAAAGCACACACACACACACAAGTGTTCATGTGTGCAGGGGACCTTGACGAGGTGGGCCAGTGTTGGGTCGATTGGTTCCGAGGGCGAGAGAACGGCGAGTTGGCGCAGCAGCCAGGGCGTCGGATCAAGGCCGCACCGCACATACACGCGCTTCTGCAGTGGCGTGATAAACAAGGGATGCATGAGCGAGTGCACTTCATACTCGTAACAACATAGCCCCTCCCCCCTCTATCGGGCATGACATCACACACGCACACACGCACCCACACACACACACACACACACACACACACACACACACACGCACGCACACACACACACACACACACACACACACACACACACACACACACACACACACACACACACACACACACACACACACACACACACACACGCACGCACACACACGGACAAGAACAGGCGTGCGGCCGAACCATGACGAGAGCGTGGATGGCGTGGACGGGCGCGGTGTGCGGACCCGCTGCAATGCGCGGTGTCGGGGGGAGCAGCAGTGACAGGCGGGCGAGGTGGTCGGATCGCGACATAAACCGGTCGACAACGGCATCCCGTGCACGGAGCAGAACATCGCCGGGCACCTGAACAGTTGGTTGCGATTGGGTGTGATTGGTGGTGGTGAGCCGAGACCTCGAGGCAGCGGAGGCCGCAGAAGGTGTGAACACACGCTCAAAAAGACGCACACAGGCACACACACACACAACACATGCACACAAATACACATACACACACACCCCTACCCACACCTACCCACCCACAGACAAACAGACAGACACACACACACACTACAACAGCACCTGTGCATCTGTGTCGAGGTCGAGCATAGCGCGAACAAGCTCGTGCACACGGGCGATGCTGCCCTCCGACAGGAAAATCAACAGCAGCACAACCCGCTCACACACGCGACCGCGCTCCTCAACACCGCCCGTCCATCGTGATGATGACGACGATGATGGTGGTGGCTTGTGCTTGTCCGCAGGCACTGATGAAGCGGTTGCGGCATCAGGCGCGCGTGTACGCTGACCACCACCACCACCACCACCACCACGGTGCCGTGTGTGGCGCGGGTCTGGGATGGCGAGGGCGATGCACTGCATGAACTTGTCGTGGATGGCGGTGGCGTCGAGGTGGGAGACGGGGCCACACAGCAGCAGCGCGCCCACACAGCACTCAACCAGCGCACGCGGTGGTGGCCGCCACGACAGTGCTGACGATGACGGTGGTACTGTTGTTGCTGATGATGCTGGTTGCTGCGTGAGGCGGGATGGTGCTGATGGGGTCCTCGACGGCACTTTGGACTGGGGCTGAGACGCTGATGTTGCTGACGACGACGAGGATGATGGCTTTGGTGTCACAGCTACTGTCTCTGTTGCTACTGCTGCTGCTGTTGCTGACCCTCGTGTTGATGCGGATTGGTTGGAAGTTGGGGCCGCGGGTGCGGAGGAGAGCATGTGGTGCACGAGTGTCAGGAACGGCAGCACATCCTCCTGCCAATTCGAAAGAAGAAAGTCAGAAGGTCTGTGGCGTGAGCAACACGCTGTGTGTGTGTGTTTGTGCATGTGTTTGTGCGTTTGCTTGCAGCGGCATAACTCACCCTTGGCATGGTCAGACACGTCGAGTTATACACGATGGCCAGGGATCGCAGAAACACTGAAGCGGGGGGGGGGAACGCGTCAGCATGTGAGTGGGTGCACGTGAACAAGACAACAAGCACCGCAGGGAAACGTGGGTGCACGTGAACAAGACAACAAGCACCGCAGGGAAACGTGGGTGCACGTGAACAAGACAACAAGCACCGCAGGGAAACGTGGGTGCCGTGCAGAAGACGAAACAGGGGCCACACACATCACAAAACCGTTTCCACCACACGTCACGCATACCCATTCACTCTCATGCTCACTCTGATACGCACGAATTTTGTTTTCGGTCGACGCCAAGATGGCCGGATCAGCCATTAGTTCGCGAATGCGCGACTGAAGTGCAAGCACCGGCGCTGTACACACACACACACACACACACACACACACACACACACACACACACACACACACACACACACATACACACACACACACACACATGTGCAGGGGGCAGATTTGTGAGTGACTGAAAAAGAAGAATGCCAATATGCCTGCATCTCATGCGAACATTCACAGATGTGTCGCTGGGGTGCACTCACGTGATTCGGCGCTGCTTCGAAGCCACGACGCAAATCCTGTAAAGTGGGGGCGCACGTGATGCAACCTGCTCACAGGTGACGTGACAATGGAGAGAGTGAGGAGAAAACAAAGGGTATACAGCGGAAATGGATGAGTGGGTGGATAGTTCACCAAATCGAAAGGAGGATATACACGTACACATATGCCCCCCCCACATACACAGACACACCCAACATCACCACCAGCGCATTATGCACTGCAGCTGACTTGATAAGTGCGTCTGATCCTGGCTGGAGGGCGTCTGTGATGAAGGAGAGGAGGAGCGGGGCCAGCAGCCGGTTCTGGAGCAGCACGTGCCTGACGGATGCATGGTCGCATGGTGGATAGGCTGAGTGAGCAAGCTGATGTTGCGCGTAGTTGGTACGGCTCAGCAAAAGCGTGCCGTGCATGCAACACCCGGGGTCATTTTGTGACGCAGCGCACGCAGTTGTAAGGCAACGCTCTGCCCACACAGAGCAGAGAACAGCCACACGGACGCAACAGGCAGCCTGGCAGCAGTCAACTACACCACACAGAACACCATACACGGAGCACCCCATACTGTCACATGGCACGGTGCAACGTACTGGGCCATGACGCTGCTCTCTGGGAAGAGGCGCTGCAGTTGCGTGAGCACATGCGTGGCTTGCTCCTCCTTCATGCCCTGAGTCACGCGGAGGGTGTCGCACACCAGATGGATCACTGCACACGCGCCAGTGTGTGCCGGCATCATCGTGTTAACCCGCAGGTCATGTGCGTGTGAGCGTTTGTCGACAAGGGGCTCACGATGGGTGTAACTGGCATCCATACACGCAAATACAACGCACACACACACACACACACACACACACACACACACACACACACACACAGGTACACGCGCACACACGGTGATGCAGCGCACGTACGGCTGGCGAGCGGGAGGGCTTCGTTGAGAACAAGAGCGAACAGGAGATGAAGGCCCGATGCATGCTGGCTGTCGAGCAGCCATCGAAGAAACTGCGGTGCCAGCAGTGCATCTGCAGAGTGACACGGGGGGATGTCGTTGGAAGAGTAGCTGATGAGCATTATGATAAGCAGGCACACGTTGGCGGGGACCCACCCACAGACCCACCCACACACACCCACACACACCCACACACACCCACACCCACACACCCACACACCCACACACACACACACACACACACACACACACACACACACACACACACGCGCACACACACACACACACACAACACACAACAAAAAGCACACAACACACACACACACAAAAGCGCGCACACATAAAAGCACACATGCTCACTTTTGACGAGGAAGGCGAGAACAAAGATGGTCTCTGGTTCGGGAAACTGCAGGAGCTGTTTGAGCAGCGAGTGATCTCCAACACGCAGGGCATGGCGAAGCGTGCAGCAGTGCTGAAGAAACGTCATGCACGGTGGGCAGGCCATCTGGGGTGACTGGTGAGCCCCTTGTTTGTCATCTTGTGTGTTTGGCTCTAGGGAAGCGGCTGCGATTCGAACATCCTGCGGCGTGGTCATGAGAGCATCGCACACAATGTTGCGGAGCCGTGTCCTCTCTTCCTTCCTTTGCTGCTGGTTTTGTCCCCGTTGCTGCGGCTCCCCTTGTTGTCGTCGTTGTTGCTGCTGCTGCTGCTGCTGCTGTTGTTGTTGTTGTTGCGCTCCTCCTCCTCCTCCTCCGTCTCCTTGACCACCTCCTCCGTCTTTGCTTTCCCCTCTCCCTACTTCGCTTGCACCCACATCGTCTACAGTTGTGAACAAAGAGTCCACATCCACCTGCTTTTTGTACACGAGGTGAAAGCACACCAGCTCAACGACGTCAGGAGGCAGCTCCGCCCAGCCGACTCCGGCAGTGCCGGCCGAGGAAGGACCCCTCTCCAACGCCTCCTTCGCTTCGCGTAATCGCTCCATCGCTGTTTGGTTGGCTATCGTGCGAGTGATCCAAGTACCACCAAGCAGCAGCCCCGACTGTGACGGCGTGCGCCTCACTGTCTGTGTCCACGTTCGCACTGACTGGCTTGCGCGCAAACCAAACAAACTGACCACAGGCGATCTGTGTGCTGAAAATTGTCGCGTGTTATTCACTGATCGTCGCCAATCATCGGTTGTTGGTGGCATGTTGTTGTTTGTAAGGTGAGCGCACAAACACACACAGGCACGCACACATGCACACTCCTCCTGCACATCTTCACCAAGATCACACCACCCTGGGGTTCTGCCGTGACAACGACACGCCCTCGTGCATGACCAGCTTTTGTACCTTTCCTTCATACTGAATACAAGGTGCACACCATAAAATTTGCTGCGAGCTCTGCCTGCGTGCGTGTCTTTGTGCTTGCGCAAGCCCTGTTCTTGCTCGACTTGTGTTGCCTTCATCTGTAGTTGCCGTCATCTGCACTTGTGTTGTCATGCTCTCATCATCGCTTACATTGCGTCCATTGCCACGAGCCACGATCCACGATCCACGTTTTTGTGCCTCCCCACTCACTCACTCGCCCATTCACTCACTCGCCCATTCACTCACTCGCGTCCATGCGCTCGGCTTTGCCTACCCTTGTTGCGTCTCTGTGTGTCCGATTGCCAGCGCAGCTGATCAATACCTTCTTATTCTTCTTATTATGGGGCAAACCGAGTCGCGGCTGCCACGCCGCACAAGCTCGGCTTTTCTTCTGAAGCCAAAGACAGAAATCCACACAAGCGCATGCCACACGCACGACCACCTCGCGCACGGCATGGCCTGTATGCAAGGCTGGCGCGCGCACATGGAGGATGCGCACGTGATGCGGGCGACGCTGCCCGGGCTCGACGGCTGGGCCTTCTACGCCGTCCTGGACGGGCACGCGGGGAAGAAGGTAGCAGAAATCTCCGGGAACAAGCTCGCGGGCACCGTGCTGTACGAGATCCTGCCTGTTCGCGACAGCATCCAAGGGGTACAGGCGGCGCTGCGGCGGTCGTTCATCAAGCACGACCAGATGCTCGTGCGCAACCCGGAGGTGCTCAAGGACCGCTCCGGTAGCACGTGCACGAGCGTGCTCATCACCCCGACCCACTTTGTCTTCGCCAACGTCGGCGACTCCCGCAGCGTGCTGGCACGGGAAGGGCGGCTGGCCTTTGCAACCATGGACCACAAGCCCACGCTCTCCCAGGAGCGCGCGCGCATCACCAACGCGGGCGGGTGCGTGCTGAATGGTCGTGTGGACGGCGGCCTCGCCGTTTCCCGCGCCTTTGGTGACTTTGACTACAAGATGCGATCGGACCTGAGCCTGCTGCAGCAGAAGGTGTCGCCGGAGCCAGACATCACCGTGGTGGAGCGGTGCCGGGAGAAGGACGACTTCCTGCTGCTTGCCTGCGACGGCATCTGGGATGTGATGAACAACCACACCGCGGTTCGCCACGTGCAGCAGCAGCTGCGCAAGACAACCGGTCACTTGGGCAACGTGTGCCACTCGCTTGTCAAGCGGTGCTTCTCCCTCGGCAGCCGCGACAACATGTCTGCGGTGGTGGTGCTGTTCAACAAGGAGCACGCCCCCGCCGCCAGCATCGTCGTGCCAACCGCCATATCCAAGGGCGGCACCAGCGGCAAGCAGCACATCGAGGGCGAGCAGGAGGAAGAGGAGGGGGACCGCATGGACAGCGGGGTGAGCACGAGCCCACCGGCCGGCACAGGGCAGCGTGCGGGCCAGGTGGAGACGCTGGAGCAGATGGCTGAGCGCATTGCCGCATCTGTTGCGTTCAGCGCCATTGCCAGTGGCATTGAGGAGATAGTGGAGACGCGCGCAACATCTGTTGTTCCGCAGCGTGCGGTTGCAGTTGGGGAGGGCGCGGTGCTCACAACGCACTTTGAGGCAACTGCGCAGTCCGACGGAACAGCGGTGGCGACTACAACCACGACAGCGACAGGGGCGAGGGTCGTGGTTGCAGAGGCGGCAGGTGCGAATGGAACGCGTGGTGCGAATGGAACGCGTGGCGTGGATGGTGTGGTGGCTGCATCCATGTCATCAACGTCAAACGCAACGCAGTCGGATATCATGGGCACAACGACCACAACGACCACGAGCAAAACAACTACATTCGTCGCAGCCATGGTGCGTATGTGTGTGTGTGTGTGTTTGGAAGGGTTGGAACGCGTGTCCATGAACGTTGCATTGGGGGTCCTGGCTTTGCTAACAATCCTGCCTCCTCTAACCATGTGTGTATGCATGCTCACGTCCTTCCTCTCTGCCCCTGTTTGTATCGTTATGATCATGTATTCACGCACATGTGTGTGTGTGTGTGTGTGTGTGTGTGTGTGTGTGTGTGTGTGTGTGTGTGTGTGTGTGTAGTCTGCTGCGAACAACAGCGAGGAAGCGGACGGCAGTGCTGCGGCGTTAGCCAGCGAGAAGCACGCCGTGCACGTCACAAATGACGATGCGCGCGATGCAATGGCAATCCTGTCTGTCATATCAGAGGCGGAGAACGAGGGCGAGAGCGAAGACGAGGAGGAGGAGGAGGAGCGTGACGGCGTGGATGCCAGCGGTGCCAGCGGCGACGACAGCGACTATGACGAGGATGGTCGATATGACACGCGCTCCGAAGACTACGGCTACATGGAGATTGGCGTCGAGGACGAAGTGGTCAGTCAGTTGCTTCGAGGACTGATGGGCAGTTGGGGGGGGGAGCAAGTGTGGTTTTGAGCGGACCCGTTGCTGTTGCTGTTGCTGTTGATGTTCGTCACACACACACACACACACACACACACACACACACACGCACACACACACACACACACACACACACACACAGCTTCGTTGACTCAGCTGACATCTTGTTTCCGCTTGCGTTGCGCGCTGTTTGCGCCGGTTTGTTTGGTTCTTCAGGAGGAAGACGTGCCGACAACTGGTGGTGCAGAAAGTGAGCAGCACGATGCTGTCACACCCGCTCACGCGTAGCCGGTGGGGAGGGATGCTCCGCAGCGCCCATTCGTTTGCGTCGCGTGTGCCCTCGGCTCACCCCTGACTGGACTGGACTCTACTTAACGACCACCATACTGACACTCATATTGCTTGCTTTCTTGCTTTGCTTTGGTTGCTTCATGGCTCTTGGCTCGCTTTTTCTAGATTCGTTGTATCGTTTGCTTGTTGGATTGCTCCCCTTGTTCTCTTGCTTGCTGTTGCGTGTACTTTGTTCACTTGCTTGCTTTTCTCTCTTTGCCGTGTTGTTGCGTTGGTGCGTCATAGCATGTCATGTCACCATGCCATGTCATGTCGCCGCTGCTGCTTGCTGTCGTCTGGTTTGTTGCGTTAGGTTTTGTGATCAGTGTGATATCGTGTTCTGGCTCGCTCGCTTCCGTGCCTGTTCGTTAAGTTTTGTTGCGTTGTTGGATGATAAGCAGACCGGTCGAATGTAAACGCTTCCTCCAAACAACCCTGAGCCTGTGCACGCGTGCAGAGTCGCGCGTCTCATCATCCGTTTACGTTCACCCGAACAACAACCGCTTGCGCTTGTTGCTGCCTTCTGTGTGTCACAAAGTGAGTGGCGTACCGGCTTACTCCAGCCCACTTCCCGCCCCCCCCCCATCCCCTGTTTCAAAACAACAACTTCAGGAGTGGTTCAACCGTTGTCTGCGTTTACAGTTTCTTGGATTTTGATGACCGTTCAGAGGCATGACAGACCCAAGGACCTGAGAATGAACCAACGAGCCAGGACACAACGACAACACAGCACCGACACCGACAGGCCTGAGACAGCTCAGTTCATGCGGCGCACAAGCTTGTTGATAGCGTCCTCGCGGTTACCATAGTCGCCACCCTCAACGTAGTGGTTGCCCTTCTTCACCCAGCCACCGTTGGGGGTGTTGAGCTTGAATGGCCAGAGGAAGTTGTTGGCCTTCTTGAAGTTGGGGCCCACAGTGAAGATCTCGTGGACGAGGTCCTCGACGCACATGATGCCGCACTTGCGCAGCTTCTGCTCAATCACGTCGTTGCTGGAGATGGGGATGCGCTGGCCGTTGATCTTGGCGTAACCGCGCTTCAGGATGAGCTCGCGCACAGTCTTGAGGTTGGGGTAACTGCAATGTCGAGACACAAAGGGATGGATACAGCAGTGAGTTGAGCGCGTCAAAGCATGTGCAATGTTGCACTGAGGTTATTATATTGGTTGTTGTTGTTGTTGTTGTTGTTGATGAGAGCTTTGGCAGAAAGCGGCGGAATGGTGGTGGTGGTGCTGCTGCTGCTGCTGTTATGGCCAACTTGGAAACAACACGCCCTTTTAGTGCACACACACACACACCACACACAAACGAAGGAGTGTTTTGACCACGTACCCGTATGCGACGTAGTGCTGGACCTTCTGAAGCATGTTGAGGATGGGCTTGTTCACGCGGAGGAAGACACCGTTGTTGATCTGCAGCAGGCGGAAGAGCTGGAGGATCTTGCGCACCTTAGGGGACACGCCGTTGATACTATCATCAACATGCACAAGAAACGACAAGAAACAACATCAAAGCGGTCAGCAAGCGTGAAACGATGGGTAGCTGCTGTTGTTGTTGGTACAGCGGGGGTGTAGACTTGTGCACTTCAAAATATGACATTGTGTGTGTGTGTGTGTGTGTGTGATCGAGTGGGGCCCGCACACATGCGTGCAGGAAGCGAGCAACTGCGCGCGAGCTCTCTGTCACATACACACGCACGCGGCTATGTGGCTCAGTGAAGACGTACCCGCGGATGCGGATGACGAAGAGAAGCTTGGGCTCCTCAGGAATGTAGAAGGTACCGGTCTTCTTGGCGATGCGGTTGAGACGCATGGCGGTGCGCTCGTTGTGCTCGTACTCCTTCTCGTACTTGGCAGCACGCTTGATGATCTCGCGGCGGTTCTTCAGGCGCCTCTGTGTGTGTATGGAAAAGCGCAGGGTCGTACGACGCGCATGTCATGAATGAGCAAACGACACTCACAAGCTCACACCACAAATGAAAGCACAAATGTGTATGTTGTGGGTGTGTCGAGAAGGGGAACAGTGGAAGAAAGTTGGCTGGCTGGTTGGCTGACTCGCTGGAGTTGCTCGTTCATGAAAGCGCGGGAACCGCGTCTCAAGCTGTGTTCCCTCTCGCCACTGCTGCTGATGTCGTTTGGGTAAGATCAACTGGGCTCCACACGAGAAGGCGCGGTGCGTCTGATGCGGTCTTCGAACTGCGAGCGCTCGAATCAGCCAATCGCGGCAACAACTGTTTTCACCAAGCACATGCTGTTCATGCGTCTCTCGCCACGTCTCTTCACGGCTGTGGCGGGGCCATCGTCGCCGTCGCTAGTTGGTTGCTGGCTCTGTTGACGGCGTTGCTGCGGGTGCTGTGGTTGGTGTCGCCATCTCTGTTCCATCTCTGTTCTTTTGCTCCGTTCACGCCGCCACACCGCTTGCACTGACCGCGACCGTGCGCATCAGCGCTCCCCATCAGGTCACGCAGCACCCGTCAGCCCGCCCGGCCAATCCAACCACCACAGCCCTCTGTCTGACATGCTGTCGTGTGCATTGCGCACACAGCGTGGGCATGCTGTTGTACCTTTGTCTCCGCAGCCTTCTTCGCGCGCAGAGTCTTGGCAATCCTCTGGTTGCGTGCCTTCTTCTTGAGGTGCATGGCGGGCACCGTGGGGCGGGCCTTGTCACTGTGGTGGATGCGTGCGCGCGCGAGTGTGTGTGAGTGTGTGCAAGTGTGTGAGTGTGTGCGAGTGTGTGCGCTGTTGTTGGTGGTGGTTGATCTGCCACACACGTCTGCCACACGCATGCACACTTACACCTCGCTTCGTGCACACTTACACCTCACTTCACGCAGGCGTACCCCTTGCTCGCACACCCCTACTCTCCCTCTCTATCGCTCCACACCCATCTTCATATGGTTTTGACCACACGCGCCACCACACCACACCACACCAAACCAACCTCATGGTGGCTGCTGGGTGAAGAAGGGAGGTTGTTGATGGTGCTGGGGCGGTGAGGGAAAAAGGCACAGCCAGCACATGCGCCGCACACTGCTGTCAATTGCTGCGGGAGGTACTCAGTACTCACACCCAAAGTACCACGTTCTGAAAATACAAGCAAGACATTCGGTAGTATTCGGTTTTTGCAGAGTACTCCGTGAAGAATTTTTTTAAGTATTCTCAACAGCAATTCTTGCTGCAGGAACACCGTTCCCCAACGCATCGCCAGAAAATCAGAAGTCATCCGTTCGATGCACGCGCCAATACCCGTTTCCACAAACACAAACAAACAAGAGGGCGGAAAAAAAAAGTCGCTGTCAGCAATTAATCCAAGCAAGGTAAGGCAAGAAGGGACGGTTGCTCTGTGGCAGTTTCGCTTTTGTTGTTTGTGTCTTCCCGCGCGCACCCCAGCAGCCTGATTTGTCACCCTGCCTTTGTCTGTGGAGGGAAAGAACGAAAAGAAAAGGTGCGTGGTACTGTGTGACCGCCGTTCGTTCGCTGCTCGTGCACCACCATGCTACTAGTGGACGTGTATGTTGGCGCCCTCTGTGCTGCGGGCGCGTATTTGTGCCTCTCTGTCGTGGCGTTCTTGTTTGGATGTTTTTTGGCCCTGCTCGTGGTGTTGGCGCGCACCCTTCTTACTCATTGTGATCATGGCCGTCCAACGATGATCACTCGCGCGTTGTCGCTTGTGGCACATGGCGATGCTGGTGGTGTTGATGGTGGTGTTGGCGGTATTGGTCTTGGTCTTCTTGTGCATGTGTGAGAGTGTGTGCACGTGGCCATCGGTGTTTCGTTTTCATTGCTCTTCAATATTCTTTTCGACTCACGCCACTTGCTGTGTCCGTGACAGAGATTGATCAACGACTTCTGCTGCACCAATAATCCGCGCTTCCCGCGTCTTGTCCACAACAACCAACGCGCGCCAGGTGTGTGTGTGTGTGTGTGTGTGTGTGTTGGCGCCATCGTCACCAGGCAATCTTTGGGCAACAGGCACTGTTGCTCAGTGTTCGAGAGCGTGTGCTCGGCAAATGATGCACATCACCCTCGGCAAATGATGTACATCACCACACCACGCTAGAGGCACAACTCAGTGTTCACACCAGTGCAGACTGCGCTTGACCAAACGCAAGTGATGCATATCCACTCGCGCACTGTATTGATAGCGCTCATCACATGGCACTGCCCCATCCACAACCTGCGCTGCTTTGCTCCCCGTGTGTGTGTGTGTGTGTTGTGTGTCGACCAGGATGGCGGCCACCATCGACATTCGACAAACATGGGCCGTACTCAGTCTTGGGCTGGACAAGATCCTCAACGCGGATCTTCGTGCCAGCAGCAACTCAGGCACAATCAAGGCGCTCGAGAAGACGGACTACATCGAACTCTACCAGTACGCGCCTTCCCACACCCACATGCCCCAACACACACGTCTCCACGCTGCAGTCAGCCCCTTGACACACACACACACACACACACACACACACACACACACACACGCACGCACACACACACACACTCACTCTCTCGTGTTGTGGGTGTGCCGAATTGGCGTGCGGGTGACACTACATTGACGTCACGCATGCTCATCATTTGTGTGCTGTGGTGGTACAGTGAGGTATTTGGGTACTGCACAAAGAGCTCCTCGGGGTCCAGGCCTCTGGGCGCCATGCAAGCTGGCGCACGATCCCAGTCCGGTTGGTGACCCTCCATGCGCGTCCCTGTGTCTGTGTGCATGCGTGTGTGTGCGTGTGTGTGTGTGTGTGTGTGTCTGTGTCTGTGTGTGCGTGTGTGTTTCTGTTTCTATGTGTATGTGCGCGCGCGCGTGCGTGGCTGCCTGCACGCTTTTGCATGCATGCTTCACTCACGTTCATGTCACCCAACCCACACCAGCCGACAAGATTTACGGAAAGGACATTTACGACAAGCTCAAGGACTTTCTCATTGAACACAACAAGAAGAAGCTCAGCGTATGTTTCAACAGCACACGCAAACAAACAGAGAAGCACACAAGCACACACACGCACGCACGCACACACGCACCTTGTTCGCGTATGCCAAGCGTTTTGCCTTCCTCTATGTGGGAGAAAGCTTGCTCCTCCTCCTCCTCCTCCTCGTCAAAACGCGCATCTGTCCACTCACACGCCGTCCACCCCCAACGTCCCCTTCCGCTCACACTGTGGGTCGCCGTCGCCACCACCACTACCACCACCACATTACCTCGCGCTGCCTGCTGTGGGCTTTGTGGGACAGGCGCTGTCGCAGCTTCGCGGGGAGGAGCTGCTCAACACATACCGCCACGAGTGGGGGCTGTACGACTTTACGCGCACCATCATCGACAACATCTTCAGCTACCTCAACAAGCACTGCGTGCCCCGCGCCATCGAAGCAGACATGCCCGGATACTTTGACATCTACACGGTGCGCACGCGCTGTGTGCCTGTTTGTTTGTTTGTTTGTTTGTTTTGTTGTGTGTGTAAGTACGCACTTGAGTCTGTGTGTGACTGTGTGTGTGTGTGTGTGTGTGTGTGTGTGTGTGTGTGTGTGTGTACACCTTATGTGTGTGTGTACACTTTGTGTGTGTGTGTGAACACCCGTGCGTGAGGTTTCGGGATCAGGCCCTTGGGTGTCATCTTTGCAACTGCTGTACATGAAGCACATTTCAGTGTGCCTGCCCTGACCTCACCCATGCGCTGGTTCCACTTGCCTCTGCGTTCTTGCGACTTCCCAATTGTCACGCCTACAGCTGACCGTCTTTGTTTGGAGAGAATACCTCTTCAAACCCCTGCACGAGAAGGTGCGCAACATTTACAGCACCTCTTGCACCTGTCTCTCTGGTTTGCACGCATTGGTGTTGCTGTGCATTCCTCACATGAACAACACACCCACACACACCTGTATGTGTGCGTGTGTGTGTGTGTGTGTAGCTTGTCGAGAGCGCGCTTGAGATGGTTCGCCAGGACCGCAACGGCGTTCAGATCCGCACCAGCGCCCTCAAGGCGTTTACAGCAAGCCTCGGTCGGTAGAGGGCGGATGATTTTTTTTGGGGGGGGGGGTTACACGTGCTCTGTGTGGGTGTAGGGGTGGGTGAGTGGGTGTGGTTGACTTTCGCTGATGCTCCTTCTTACCCTCGCGACATGAACACACATGCATGCATGCATGCACACACAAACACACACACACACACACACCAGTGGCGATGGGTTTGGATGACAAGGAGAATGTGCAAGGGCTTGTTGGGCGCGTTGAGTTCAAGCCAAAAGTGAACCTGGACGTGTACGAGCAGTACTTTGAGAGGCCGTACCTCGCCGAGACGCGCGCCTTTTACCAGAAGGAGAGCATCTCCTTTGCAGACGCGGGCTCCCTCGCAGACTTTGTCAAAAAGGTCAGGTGTCGTGTGTGTGTGTGTGAGGGTGTGTGTGTGTGCGCGTTGGTAAAGCCATTTCACTTTTGGTTCTGCTATCTGCACGATTTCCTGATCCCCCTCCCCCTCGGCCTTTCGCTTATTCCTCTGTGTACAGGCGCTGGTGCGCGTTGAAGAGGAAGAGGACCGCGTGCATCAGTTTATGCACGAGTCCACGGGCATCAAAGTCGCAGAGGAGGTGTGTTGCCACCGCTAATGTCCATGAACATGTTCAGGTTACAGGTGACGCTGAGGCATGCATGTGGCGTTTGTGCACAAGTGTGTACGTGTGCGTGTGCGTGTGTGGGGAGAAGTTGATCCGTGTCCACTAACACCTGCGCCTTGTGCTGCGGCTCAAACTTGCGTGTGTGCAGTGCAACAAAGTGCTTGTTGTGATGCACCAGGACGCCCTTAACAACGAAGCGTCCGTCCTCCTGGAAACAGAAAAGGACGAAGGTGTGTTTGTCTGTGTGTATGTCTGTGTATGTCTGTGTGTCTGTGTGTGAGCGCACAAGCAGGGCAACCTGCAACTTCTTGACTTGACTTGACTTGCCTTGTGCTTGTTCCCTCCATTGGTGCATCTCTTGTGCCTGGCCTCTTCCACTTGCACTATTTTGACTCGGCTCACCCCCTGTGCATGCGTGCATGCATGCATGCTTGCCCTTGAGCAGACCTGAAGCGGCTGTACACGCTGCTGCGACGTGTGCCGGAGACGCTGAAGCCACTGCGGGACCAGGTGGAGAAGCACATTGCACAGCACGCGCGCAGCGCCATCGACGCCTGCGGCAAACTCGGCGCGGTGCGTACCTCACACACACACACACACACACACACACACACACACACACACACACACACACACACACTTCTTCGGTGTTCCTTTTGATGCTGTTCGTTGTCGCAGTCGTCACGATGACTGATAATTGACGTTTGATGGCCCGTGACTTGTGTGCTTGTTCCCGGGGCTTGAATGTCGTCTTTGTCGTGACAACTCTTTCACCGTCTCACTCACTCACCGCCACGGCCACCACCACGGCCTCATATCGCCCCTTGCCGCTTCTATGCAATGAAAATGCTTCGATGTCATGTGCAGTCGAGCGAGGATGCGCGCAAGTTTGTTGAGACGCTGCTGCAGGTGCACGAGAAGTACCTGAAGCAGATCAACCTTGCCTTTGAGAACGACACGCTGTTTGTGGAGGCGATGGACAAGGCGCTCAAGGACGTGGTGAACCGCAACGCCGTGACGGCCAACGGGCGCAACTCGACACGCAGCCCCGAGCTGCTGGCCAAGTACTGCGACTCGCTGCTGAAGCGCGGCTCAAAGGTGGAGGGCGAGCAGCTGGAGCGCCGTCTCGCCCAGGTCATGACCATCTTCAACGTGAGTTTCCCCCATGGTGCTGGTGCTGGTGCTGGCAAGAGGCGCTCTAACCCCCATACCTTGAGCCTCTGTGTGTGTGTGTCCGTGTCGTGTTGTGTCGTGTCGTGTGTGTGTGTGTATGTGTGTGTGTGTGTGTGTGTGTCGTGTCGTGTGTGTGTGTCGTGTCGTGTGTGTGTCGTGTCGTATGTGTGTCGTGTTTCCCTCTTTTCGTTTCTGTTCACCGGCATACTCTGTCCGTGCAGTACCTTGAGGATCGGGACGTGTTTGAGAAGTTTTACAAGAAGTTCCTTGCGAAGCGGCTTGTGACGGGCGGCTCTGCCTCTGACGATGCGGAGGCCATGTTCCTGTCCAAGCTCAAGGCCGCCAGCGGGCACGAGTACACACACAAGCTGCAGCGCATGTTCAACGACATTGGCACCAGCCGCGAGCTCAACACCAAGTTCAAGAACCACCTGCGCGTCTCCGGCACGTCGCTGAAGGTTGACTTCTACGTGCAAGTGCTGACGAGCCACTCGTGGCCGTTTACGGCGCAGCTCAACGTCACGCTCCCGCCGGTCCTCGGCCGCTGCCTCGAGCGCTTCTCCATGTTCTACCAGGTCTGATTGCCGCCCGTGGTGCGCCACGATGCTGGTGGTGATGATCATGTTGCTGGGGGTCGTGATATTGCTGATGGTGGTGATGACGCCAACTGGCGACTCGCTCATGTCTCTTGCCTTTCCTTGCTCCCCCCCCCGTTGCCTTGCTTCACTATCCTGCCGGCAGAATGAGCACCAGGGCCGCAAGCTCATGTGGGCGTACCAGCTGTGCAAAGGCGAGCTCCTCACACACTACCTCAAGAAGCCTTTCGTCTTCCAGGTGCGCTACGCTGTGTGTGTGGGTGTGGGTGTGTGAGTGTGTGTGTGGGTGTGGGTGGGTGTGGGTGTTGGTCTTTGACTTGGTTGGCCTCGCGCCCCCATGGTTGGTTGTACAGCTGTGATTAACCGCCTCATGTGTCGTTGGTGCTCGCAGGCAAATCTGATCCAGATGGCTGTGCTGCTGCTGTTTAACCAGCAGCTGAGCATGAGCCGCTCCCAAATCCTCGAAGCAACGGGCGTTGACGAGGTGCAGCCGCGCACGATGTCATACGCTTTGTCTTGCGCGTTTTTGTGTGTGTGTGTGTGTGTGTGTGTGTGTGTGTGTGTGTGTGTGTGTGTGTGTGTGTGTGTGTGTGTGTGTGCCTCGTGTGTGTGGTGTGTGTGTGTGTATGTTTGTTTGTTTGTTTGTTTGTTTGTTGAGCGTGTTGCCAGTGTACGCGCATCAGGAGCACTTGAAGCAACATCTGTGTGCGCCTCGCTCACGCCACGACGTGTTTCGCGCGATTGATTGTGTCGCTGTGCGATGTGTCCGTGTTGCCACCTGCTCCCTCGTGTGCCAGAAATCCCTCAAGCCACAGCTTGACAACCTCCGCAAGATGAAGATCTTCAAGGAAGAGGTGTGTGTGTGTGTCTGTGTGTCTGTGTCTGTGTCTGTCTGCGTTGGACGTGCAATATCGGTTTGAGCCTCCTCGTTTGCTGTGCCTGTCGCGAGACCCGGGCGTGCTTCAAGCCGCTCATGGTGGTGTGGACCATGTGCCCGTTCTCCGTTCATTCTCCGTTCCTTGTCATTCATTCTTCTGTTTTCTTCTTCATCCCTTGTTTGTGCAGAACGAGGTGATGACGCTGAACGAGAAGTACAGCTACAAGAAGCTGAAGATCAAGATTGACCAGCCCGTGAAGAGCGAGCAGAAGGAGGAGTCTGAGACGACACACAAGATGGCGATGGAGGACCGCAAGCTTGTGATGGAGGCGTGCATTGTTCGCATCATGAAGATGCGCAAGCGCCTCAGCCACACGTCCCTCGTGCAAGAGGTCATTGAGCAGCTCCAGTCGAGATTCAAGCCAGACGTCGGCATGATCAAGGTCAGGACGCGCGCGCGTGTGTGAGGTTGTGTGTTTGTGATGTTGTGTGTGCGTGTGTGTCTATGTGTGTGCGAGGTTGTATATGTTGTGTGTGCGTGTGTATGTTGTGTGTGTTGGTATGTTGTGTATGTTTGTGTGTGCGTGCGAGGTTGTGTAAGTAAGCAAGCTCCCCCTTCCATCAATCTCTCCTCCAACCCACGCGCTCTCGTTTTTGTGATGCCTCACCCACCACACGCGACCAAACGTGTCACATCTGACCATGCAGAAATCGATTGAGTCGCTGATTGACAAGGAGTACCTTCGCCGAGGTCAAGTCCGCACAGAATACGAGTACCTTGCATAACATACACGCTCTGTGTGTGTGTGTGTGTTATGTGTGTTTGTGTGTGTTATGTGTGTTGTGTGTGTGTGTGTGTGTGCGTGTGTGTGTGTGTGTGTGTGTGTGTGTGTGTGTTGTGGAACGACCTTCGTTTGCATCTTTTTGCGTGTCGTATGTCGTCTTATTCGACACGATAAACAGTAGCACTATTCTTTGCGCCTGCTGCTGCGCGCCATCGATTTGAACCAACACAACAACACAACGGAACTGTTGGCCGCCTTCACGTACCCACGACAACACAGCACAGCACAACACAGCACACACACGGCACACGCCATGGATGGGGAGGAGTGGCGTGTTGCTGCTGGCACTGGTACTGGCACGGCGGCGCTTTCAAACGCCTCATCCTCTACTGTTGCCGCAAGCAGCGGTGGCGGGAGTCACAATCACGACATGATGGCGGGGATGTGGATGCCAACGACCATGTCAACAACAACACCATCGTTCATGTTTCCAATGCAGCACATGCCCATGATGACGGTGTCCATCCCACAAATGTCCATCGTGACAACGTCGCCAACCACCATGATGCACGAGCCATCACAACCGCCACAATCACCACAGCCGCTGCAGTTTGCGTCGTCGTCGCTGCTGGCATCGTCTGCTTCGTCTGCGACCACGCCAATGCCACCTGTCGGAGACAACGACCTTGTGCTGGCTGGAAACTTTGACATGCAGCCAAGCAGAGTGCAGCCAGGGGTGATACCAACAGCATCTTCAACAGCGGCCACATCCACAAACATGTGGGGAAGCGCATCCGCAGCTACCACGTCAACGACAACCCGCTGTTTGCGGTGCGGTCGATCTCTGCAGGATGGCATGTGCGCCCTCCGCTGTGGTCACGTGTATCACGAAGCCTGGTGAGCAGCTCCACTTTGTCTGCGCGTGCTTGTGTGTGTGTGTGTGTTTGTGTATGCGTGTGTTTGTGTATGCGTGTGTGCTTGTGTATGCGTGTGTTTGTGTATGTTTGTGTGTGCGTGTGCGTATGTGTGCATGTGCTTGGTCGTATTGAACACCCTTCGTTGGCGCTACGACTCATTTCACACATTATTACATGCGTCAGCGCACAATCCCTGGACAAGTGTACATCGTGCCGTCGTAAGGCGTCCAGTGGCTTTGCCCACAACCGATCATTTGGCACGCTGTATTGCCAGTCAGCAGCACAGGCCAAGTGTTGCATCTGTCTGGACACCATCTTGCTCAATGGTGGCGGCGTCTTCCTTGGATGTGGTCACGTCTTCCACGAGGAATGGTGCGATTGTGTTGTGTTGTGTTGTGTGTTTGTTTGTATCTGCGTGTCTGTGTGTGCGTGTGTACGCCTGTGCATACGTGTGTATGTGCGTGTGTGTGTGTGTGTGTGTGTCACTTGGTGCAGCGTGTGTTGTTCCCAGTTGATCTGCTGCCAATGTACTCTTCTCCATCTGCTGTGCCCTTGTCCTGCGTTCACCTACACACACGTAACACCACCCTGTCCCCATTTCAACCAGCGTGTCGCAAGTGAGGGAGAAGAGCTGTCCCATGTGTCGCGTTCCATTCCGTCAGACCAAACGAAAGCGCATCATTCGTCTCTTCCTCGAAGGTGTGCATGTGTGTGCGCGTGATTGTGTGCGTGATTGTGTGTGTGCGTGTGCATAATTGGCGGCGCGTTCGTTGTTGCTTTTTTTTGTTGATATGGGTGTGAACAGGTCCTTCCTCGTTCGGTCACACTCCGACCGCTCAAACGCTTCGAGCCATCCTCACACCACCACATCCTGTCTGTCGTGCGCGGCATCACCCCCTGCACACACCAGACGAGAACTCTCCAGCGAACCAGACAGCAACATCATCATCAGCAGCAGCAGGTGGAGGTGATGGGAACACCGCCGGCAGCGATGATGTCGTGGCACAGCTGCTCAAGGAACGGGCCGCCCTCAAGGTGGGTACACTGTCTGTGTGCGTGTGTGTGCGTGTGTGTGCGTGTGCGTATGTGTGTGTGTGTGTGTGTGTGTGTCTGTCTGTCTGTCTGTCCGCTGTCTCAGGTTGACAATTGCCGTTCATTCCTCGTTCGCGGTGACCTCTGATGCCGTGCACTCTTTCCCTCATCATCAACGCATGGCACTTCCCGCTCATCATCACCGCAACAACAGGACGAAAACGAGAAGTTGGCCATTGAGAACCGATCGCTGAGTAAGACAAACCCGCACCCTCGTCCCCTCTGCTGTATTGTTCCGCCGAACCACACTCGTTTCATGACATCACTCCTCACGTGCTGCTGCGGTGTGTGTGTGTGTGTGTGTCTGTGTCTGTGTCTGTGTGTGTGCCATGTGATGCAGAGGTGAATGTTGCGGACACACAGGAGCGGCTGTCGTCGATGACACGGCAGTACATGGACACGAACCAGCGCCTACAGGAACAGTCGTTCCGCCTCAACCAAATGTCCTCAAACTACACGAAGCTCCAGGTGCAGCCATCGTCCTTGCCCCTGCCTCTGTGTGTGTGTGTCTGTGTGTGTGTGTGTGTGTGTCTGTGTGTGTGTGTGTGTGTGTGCCTGTGTGCCTGTGTCTGTACTTGTGTTTGTCTCTCTCTCTTTGTCTGTCTGTCTCTGTCTCTCTCTGTCTCTCTGTCTCTCTCTCTGTCTCTCTCTCTTTCTCTCTCTGTCTCTCTCTCTGTCTCTCTCTCTTTCTCTCTCTGTCTCTCTCTCTCTGTCTCTCTCTCTCTCTGTCTCTCTCTCTGTCTCTCTCTCTCTGTCTCTGTGTGTTTGACTGTTCCTGGCGGTGTGCGTGCGTGCCTCACGTGCCATTCACCAATCCCGCGTTTTTGTTCGCATCACACCGCCACCACCGCCACTTGAACAGCGCAAGGCCAACAAATACGATGAAGTGATGAAGCAGCACCAGGAGCTCCTGAAGCAGGTTTGCACCATCCAAGCGTGTGACCGGTTGTTGTTGTTGTTGTTGTTACAGTTGTTCTTGTTCTTGTTCTTCTTCTTGTTCTTGTTCTTCTTGTTCTTCTTGTTCTTCTTGCTTGCCCCCCCCCCACACACACACACACACACACATACACACGCACGCAATCACACCGATTCCCCTTCCAACACGACGTCTGCCTTTACAGGTTGATGCACACAAGAGCGAACTGACTGCACTCCGCAGGTGAGCGACGGGTTGAACTGACGCTGTGATTATACTCCGTCACACACACACACACACACACACACACACACACACACACACACACACACACACACACACACACACACACACACACACACACACACACACACACACACCTACGGTCGCTTCTTGTTTCGTCATCACCATCGCCGTGCCATCATGGCCGTCATCAGGGCTGTGAATGTGGACGCCAACCTTTGGGCGGATTGCGAGCAGAACGCCAGCGCAACGTCACCGCAGCAGATTCTCTTCATCAACAAACTCCTTGTTCAGGTGCGTGGTGTGCACTCATTGGCATGTCTTCCACACGTGTGTCTGTGTCTGTGTGTGTCTGTGTCTCTGCCAAACCTTAGAGGTTGGCAAGCTCCCCTTTCACCTGACGCCCCAATTTCACGTGTACATGTGTGTGCACTGCTTGCAGACGCTGGCTGACATGCGAAAGGCAAAAGCAGAGGTGGAAGCGAAAGTTTCACAGCGCGATGGCAAAATTGCTGCTCTTCAGGCGCAACTCAACAAGGTGTTGCATCAGGGGTGTGTGGGGGGGGGGGTTGCTGTCACCAACTCTGCTTTCAATGCTTTCATGTTCACACACACACACATCATGAACCACGAACACATGCAGGTAACGAGCAAGGCCGGACCGCGCACCCTGCACACAAGCACACCGGCACGCAGTCGGAATGCGACTCATGATGCCTCTGCACCCGTTCACCATGGTAGTGGTGGCAGCGGTAGGACCAGGTTCGCTGGTGGTGCAACTGCCAAGCGCCGTGCTGCCAGCAATGCCGTCGCTTTGACGACCAGCACCAGTGGTGGTGGTGGTGTGCGGTTGCCGCGCAAACGAGCCATGATCAAAGATGATGATGATGACGACGAATGCAATGGCGATGGCAGTGGTGCTGCGAATGGGAGCGGTGGGAATAACGGCGCTGATGTCAAGAGTGAGAATGGTGGTGGCAATGATGACGACGATGATGAGATTGTGTTCTTGGGTGAGACCAGGTCCACGAGTGTGGCGACAGCACCAACAGTCAAGCATCGCACCTCCCACAGCTCACTCAGCCATCATCATGACGACGATGATGAGGATGATGATGATGATTTGCCGCCTTCAGGCTTGTTTGAGGTAAGCTTGAAGTCAAGTGTGTACGTATGTGTATTCGTGTGTTTGTGCGTTTGTGCGTTTGTGTGTGTGTGTGTGTGTGCGTATGTGTATACGTGTATGTGTCATGTATCATGCTCTCATTTCAGCCACGCTTGCCATTGTCACCTCATCTCCATGGCGATAACGGCTCACTTCATCATCAACCACTCGCGACCACCATCACCTGTTTCTCACCCCATCCCATGACTGTACAGAGTGCGCGCCGTTCACGCCCGCGTGTGAATTCCACCACAGACTCTGCGATCGGAAGCACGAACACAAGCTTCCACTCGCCGGCCACACACGGCTTGAAGGCGTGTTCTTCTTCGTCATCATCATCGTCGTCACTGGTGTCACCATCCACAGCGGCACCAACACCAAATGCGTCTGCTCCTCATTCTTCCTCTTCTTCCTCTTCTTCGCACATGTCGTTTTCCTTTCGCCGAACAAACGGTGCTTCTGCGGTATGTATGTTTTCAGTGTATGGGGGTGTGGGTGTGTGTGTGTGTGTGTGTGTGTGTGTGTGTGTGTGTCCGAACATTTTTGCTGCATTCTCATTCACCCCGTCTCGTTGTTTGCTGCCTTATCATTCACCCCGTCTCGTTGCTTTCCCCTACCCCCTCCTTCAAACGCACGCCCATCTTGCTTCATGTTTGTTGACAGCGCCGTGTGTCCAATCTCCATCTGCACAAGCCGTCAACAAAGCGAAAGAACTCCTTCACAGGCAGTTCAGTGCAGGTACCAGTGCATGTGCGTGTGTGTCTTTGCATGCGTCATTGTGTGTGTGTGTGTGTGTGTGTCTGCCTGTGTGTATGTTTGTGTGTGTGCGTCTGTCTGTCTGTGTGTCTGCCTGCCTGTCTATTTGTCAGTCTGTGATTGTGACTCGTAATGTAACCTCTCATCTCATTCACTTGCACCGCCCATCAGGTGAACTATGGCTACGACGGCCTTGGAGGTTCACACAAGGTGCATCTATTCACACACACACGCACACACTCCACAAAACATTTGCACAACATGTTTATGTGCAACCTGTGCAACCTACGATCCTCACATACACGCACACACACGCTCTCTCCCCCCGCCACCACCCGCTTCCCTCTTCGCAGGTGATCAATCGAAGCACCAGCACCCCACGGCAGCTGGCGCCGACGCAACCACGCAAACAGATGAAGAAGAAGAACAAGAAGAAGAAGAACACATCCCAGAACAACCAAGAGGCCTCGCTTCTCGCATCGTTCCTGCAATCGCACACGCACCAATCGTGACGACAACAACTGTGACGACTTGAACGAACAGATGCTCTCCGTTTCCATATGTTGATTGTACAAAACACATCCGCGCATATGTTGCTTCCATGCTGATTGCAAGCTCACGCATGTATGCACCGGTTGTCTTCTCTCGCTCTTTGGTTAGATATACGTGACCATGCACTTGTTCGCCCGCATTTCGCGATGTCATGTTGCTTTTCAACTACCCGTGTGTGCATACGATGTACAATAGGATCAGGCTAGGCGTTGCAATCTTGTCCCTACACCCTGCTTGTTCGCCTCAATGAACACGCAAACAGAAAGCGCTTGTGCTGTGTCTTGTCGCTGGCCGTCACGAGAAAGGGGGCGTTTATTGTCAACACACATGCACCACACACACACACACACACACGTACAGGCGAATGAGCGGAAGGGAAAAGGAGACCCATGTAACCAAAAAGCGCTTCAGCAACGAAAGAGGACAGTCAACAGCACGAAAGGGACATTGGATGAAACGTGAACAACAGACAAACAGACGCAAGCATGCATGTATTCGAGTCAGCAGTGGTCAGCATCCGAGTACCGAACACAGACATGCACACGCACACGACGAAACAAGGTTGTCAGCATCAGCAAGTTGTATGGCAGGAGAGGCCACGACAAGCAAACTTCACCACAAAACGCACACACACATCAGGGGGTATCTAGAGCAGCAACACGAGGGATACGCAGGATGGTCAACAGCACAACCACACACACACACACACATACACATACACACATGAAACCAACATGACCAAGACACAACACACCCAAAGAAGCACGGGTCAGCATTCGAAATCAGAGGGGTGGCATCAGTTGCTCATAAAGCCGTAGACGTCGTTCGCGTTGTGCTTGAGCACCATGAGCTGGTGCGAAAAGCGCGGGAACCACGACCGAAACTCGCGCTGGCGATCTGCGTAGTCAAACTGGAACCCCGTGTTGTCGGGGTCGCTGTATGCGCTGCCCCACAGCAGCGACGTGAGCGGCACAGTGTCGATGATGCGGTCGACAAGCTCCCGCTTCTCGCCCTCGGACAGCGGGAGATTGCGTGCGCCCGAGAGGCGGATCCACATGCGCGAGTTG